ACAATTCAAATATTATGGAACTATGTTTTTATCTGGTAACGCTGCTAAGTCATCAACGGCTATCAATTTAAAATAGGTTTAATTCATGTTCCTGGTTGGGAAGATCAATTTTGTCCAACTTATGGAGCTTAACACATTTGCAGATCTCAGCACTTAAAGGGACACTGTAGTCACCAAAACAACTTTAGCTTAATAAAGCAGTTTTGGTGTATAGATTACGCCCCTGCAATTTCACTGCTCAATCTCTGCCATTTAGGAGTTAAATCACTTTGTTTATGCAGCCTTAGTCACACCTCCCTGCCTGTGACTTACACAGCCTCCCTAAACACTTCCTGTAAATAGTTATCTATTGTTTATACTTCCTTTATTGCACATTCTGTTCAATTTAGAATTTCCTATCTCCTGCTCTGTTAATAGCTTGCCTGACCCTGCAAGATCCTCCTGTATGTTATTAAAGTAAAATTTGCAGAGCAAGAGAAAAAAAACTTTAAAGTAAGTTACATCTGATTGAAAGTGAAACCGTTTTATTTTCATGCAGGATGTGTCAGTCACAGCCAGGGTGCGTGGCTAGGGCTGCAGAAACAGAAACAAAAGTGATTTAACTCCTAAATGGCAGAGAACTGAGCAGTGAAAGTTCAGGATTACGATCTAGACACAAAAACTGCTTCAATAAGTTGTTTTGGTGACTATAGTGTCCCTTTAAGAATGCTGCTATAGTGCAGTTTACTTAATAGTGAACTGAACTATATGTAACTTGTTAGTAGCTGTGGTATGACTTTTGCAGGGCAGTGGTTTACAGGATAAAACTCTCTTCCTGGATATTGAAAATACCCATTAAATATAGCATTGAGCGAGAATTGAAAGGTAAGATTAATTTTTTTCTTTTTTAATTTTTTTTTAAAATGCATTATCTATATAATAAATACCAACTGGTATATTTTAACAATACATTTTTACTTTAATTGCAGTGTAATAATTAAACTGAACTCTAGTCCGAGACGGTCAGCATTAGCAATGTTGGAAGCAGGAGACCATATCTTTACTGCACAGTGCTCCATCAAGAATAATGCATGTATAATACACCATTAAATGATAAGCGTGCTTAGCGCTGTTCTCCGATAATGTACATTAAACGGCATGTTCTTGGTTGCAGATGCATGTCACAATGAAACCTCCAGGTACAATATGCAGTTGAAGAGATTAGCAAAATTGCATTAGAAGGCAGCAGGAAATTCTGCTTGTCATGTCTCAGTTAGTACTGTTGAAAGCTGTTTAATGATCAGGGTATGGCATTTTTTTCTTAAAGCAACTGCATCATGTAGTAGATAGTAGACAATGAGAGTGCATTTTTTTTTTTATTCTTTACTTTGGTTGTGCATGAGTAAGACAACACATTGGCAAATGCAAATTTCTTAATATCACATTCCTCTTGTGCAAAACATTTGAGGCATACTATAGTGCCAGGAAAATGAGTATGTTTTCCTGGCACTATAGTGGTCCTTTAACATACACACTCTGGATCCCCTATACACACACTAGATTCCTTGTAAGCAAACACATACTACACCCCTAAACACACACACACACTATAGCCTGTATGCACACACTTGCTATATCCCCAATACACACATTCTCTACAGCCCATAGCCACATATGCATCACATTACACCATAAACACAAAACGACTAAAACCGACCTTATTACACAATACCACACCACGACCAGCTCACTCTACACACACTCAATACCACAAGCATGCTCCAAACACATGCACAATACTCTTTCCTGGCCCTTTTGTCTCCTGGTATCCATTTATAGAGACACCAGAGACAAGTTGCAAGGAAACACAGTGCAAGCATGTTATTAAATTTGCTTGCACTGTGCAGAACAAATACAGGACTTTTTTCTCATGCTAGATCTCTTCAGCAGAGCTCTGCACATGGTCTGCCCTGGAAGAGCATTAAACCAACATGCTCACTTTGAGAGGAGGCGTGTTTGTCATTGGTGATGACAAAACACACCTCCTCTGCCCCGCCCCCTTTTTAGTGGGCCGCTGTGTTAAAAAAATGCCTGGGCCGAGTTTTTCTCCCAGTCCGCCCTGTCCACCAACCTCCATTATAATGTGATTTCAACCAAATACATTTCCATTCCCAATACATCGTATCCCCATGCATTTCCCTAAATCCCAGTTCCATCTCATTTTCCCCAATACACACACACATGCCTCCAGGAGACTTGGGACATAAATCCTCCAGCACCTTGTGTGTGTATGTGAAGGATTCTGAAGGTCAGAGTTACATATGTTGTCCATGAAATGGACACACTGGTTTATGGCCAAGGGAACTGTGTGCCTGTGTCCTAGTCACGACAATATAACCACTGTACCAATAATCTTAACTCAGTGAGCTTATCAACTACCCATGTCACTGCAAAACATGTGGAAACATAAAGAACAATGACCACTGGATGCTATTCTGTAATTTTTATGTAACCTCCAATCTTTTCTTTCTTTTAATAATTGTATTTATCCAGAATAGGCCTGTTTCTTATAAATAAATATATATATTAATTTAACTATGCTTGCTTCATATCTTGGGAGGGTTGCAGGGAACTTGCAGTAAGCTTGTTAGCTGAGGGTTTAATCACCTCATATATCTTTACTACCTCTTCAGGATGTGATGGTAATAGGTGATCGGGACACCTAAAAAGAAGCAGGCTCTTGTCTGGTAGCAAAATCTTCTGCCCCTTTCCTTTAGTGCCCCATGGATCTCATTGACCAACCCAGGCCCCAAATGGAGCAAATCCCGTTTTCAAATAAAGTACAAATAACCAACTGTATATTTTCTCCAATTCATTTTTCCATGTGGTTTGTGTTTTTTAAAATACATGCAGTAGAGCACATACGTTGCCCTTGTAACCTTGCTGTTGAAAACACTGCCATTTCCGAGAAATTACACATATTGTAGATTCCACGTTGCTACTGACTGTCAGACACTAGGAACTTCAGACCAAGATAGATCCAATTGGTCTGATATCCCGTGTCAGCAGGCTGATTGCGGACACTGAGTCAGGGTGTAATTCTTCTCTATCAAAAGCATTGGAATAGCGGGCAGGGCAATATCCATGTATGTCTACAATGTTTCTTTTGGTATTCCTAACACTAAAGTGTTCCTTTATGAACCACCAGACACTTCTGAAGTGCTTTAAAATGCAACCCATAAACTATAATAAGTACATCTTCTGTTGATTTAAAGTGGACCTGACACCTTCACAAGTGCTTACTTTACAGTGGGCTTTCATGCTGACATGCTTTCTGGAATTTTCTATGACTCCTCACCATTAATGTATCCCATGGATTTGATGGACTCCTATTTGTCCTGGCAGCTTCAAAAATAGAAAGAAAATATTTAAATTCAAGATAAGTGAATAATTATGCAGTATTTGCAAAACTAGCACAACTGATGATGATTTGTTTTTTAAAAACATTAGGTTACAATTAGTTAGTATTGCGGTGACCTTGTAAACACCATAACCACTACAAGTTAGTGTTATGGTAATATGGCAAATAGGCTAGGGTACTGATTGATTATCTTGTGTATCTGCCCACCGGCCAAATTAAAGAAGTAGTGCGTGCACGCTCCTAAAGTAATTCACACCAGACACAGGTTTCGGGTTAATGAAAAACTTGAGGAATGTTTATTCTGAGGGGACGGCATGCCCCTTATAAAGCAAAATTACATCATATGCATTGTCAGAGATAACATGAAATAATACATCAATAATTGGTTAGGTGTTAAGTGGTTCATTTATTGCTCTTCCTACCGGGTGTGATGTCACTGGTATCTTGGAGGTCTCCCCCAGATTCCAGCGCCATCTTGTTAGTGAGGGTGTTAGTCAATGTCGAAGGGAAACTCCCTAGCGGCCATTTTAGGTAAATCACATATAAGGTTGAATAATGCTGATAATGCTGATTGTAGGTATGCTGAGTAAATAGGCATTTTACTAACATAAATTGGATTAATATTTTTGTCCTTAACACTGATATTTTTTTTTTTTGTCAAACAAGGTTTGCTCCAGCACCTTCTCCAGCCATGTTGGTAATGCAACATTTCCACTTTTACATCATCGATATCAATTCCATCCAACTTAGAAAGTGATAAATGGCTGAGAGTGCCATCCAAAATTTGTATTGTGACTAAAACTGTAAAGGATGAATATATATTTAGATAGTTGAAGAAAGGGGATACCTGTTTACTGACACAGGAAATTATTCATTTATATTGTACTGCTCCCTATTTCTGAATGACACAAATGGCAGAATTTATGGCACAGCTTATTGCTATTTTAAATTGGCCCAGGGATATAGAAAGGGTTCATAACTATTCATTTTGAGCATTCCTACATATAAGTGTTACATGTTTGAAATGGTGGTTAATTCTACACAAAGAATTTCCGAGATAGATATAAGCATGTATGGAATTTCTCAGGACAATCCCTACTTTTCTTTTTTTTTCTTCCAACTTTTCTTTCTTTTATTTTGTGTATATCAAAAAACATAAATAATAATATAATGACAAGACAATAAATATATAATACAAAAATACAATATAATCCTAGGTGGGTGATGGCATGTGGTGTTTATTTTATTACTTCATTTCAATTTGCTTTTATAAGTAATTAATAGTTGTATTTCGGGGATAAATTTCTTATGAATTATTTATTATCTTGCGCAATTACTTTATCAAGTCATCCCTGCGTTTCCCAGTATTTAAAGGAGCCTACTGCTAAAATATAATTTTTTCCTTGTGTTAGCCCTCTTTTCATTTGTAATTGGAATTTTATTTGGTCTTTTAACGAGTGCCGTGTAGGGACTGCTAGGGTTTTCCATCTTTGAGCAATTAAAGTTTTTGCTGCTATTAATATGTGCAAAGCCAACATTTTTGCAATTTATTTAAGTTGGGCCAATTTAAATGCAATAGGTATGATTCTTGTGTGTTTCTGATTCCCCTAATCTTAAAATTTTCTAAAATTGAAGTGACCAAATCCCAGTATTTATCCAACCTAGGACAGGTCCACCAGACATGGGTATAGGAACCAGTCTCTGACTTACATTTCCAGCAGGAGGTTGGGCAATTCTCATACATCTTGTTTAATTTTTCTGGCACTAAGTGCCATCTATGCATGATTTTATACTGTATTTCTAACAGATTCAAGCAATGTATAGATTTTTTAAGATATGGCATAGTACTAAACCAGTTGTTTACAGGGAGTGCAGAATTATTAGGCAAATGAGTATTTTGACCACATCATCCTCTTTATGCATGTTGTCTTACTCCAAGCTGTATAGGCTCGAAAGCCTACTACCAATTAAGCATATTAGGTGATGTGCATCTCTGTAATGAGAAGGGGTGTGGTCTAATGACATCAACACCCTATATCAGGTGTGCATAATTATTAGGCAACTTCCTTTCCTTTGGCAAAATGGGTCAAAAGAAGGACTTGACAGGCTCAGAAAAGTCAAAAATAGTGAGATATCTTGCAGAGGGATGCAGCACTCTTAAAATTGCAAAGCTTCTGAAGCGTGATCATCGAACAATCAAGCGTTTCATTCAAAATAGTCAGCAGGGTCGCAAGAAGCGTGTGGAAAAACCAAGGCGCAAAATAACTGCCCATGAACTGAGAAAAGTCAAGCGTGCAGCTGCCACGATGCCACTTGCCACCAGTTTGGCCATATTTCAGAGCTGCAACATCACTGGAGTGCCCAAAAGCACAAGGTGTGCAATACTCAGAGACATGGCCAAGGTAAGAAAGGCTGAAAGACGACCACCACTGAACAAGACACACAAGCTGAAACGTCAAGACTGGGCCAAGAAATATCTCAAGACTGATTTTTCTAAGGTTTTATGGACTGATGAAATGAGAGTGAGTCTTGATGGGCCAGATGGATGGGCCCGTGGCTGGATTGGTAAAGGGCAGAGAGCTCCAGTCCGACTCAGACGCCAGCAAGGTGGAGGTGGAGTACTGGTTTGGGCTGGTATCATCAAAGATGAGCTTGTGGGGCCTTTTCGGGTTGAGGATGGAGTCAAGCTCAACTCCCAGTCCTACTGCCAGTTCCTGGAAGACACCTTCTTCAAGCAGTGGTACAGGAAGAAGTCTGCATCCTTCAAGAAAAACATGATTTTCATGCAGGACAATGCTCCATCACACGCGTCCAAGTACTCCACAGCGTGGCTGGCAAGAAAGGGTATAAAAGAAGAAAATCTAATGACATGGCCTCCTTGTTCACCTGATCTGAACCCCATTGAGAACCTGTGGTCCATCATCAAATGTGAGATTTACAAGGAGGGAAAACAGTACACCTCTCTGAACAGTGTCTGGGAGGCTGTGGTTGCTGCTGCACGCAATGTTGATGGTGAACAGATCAAAACACTGACAGAATCCATGGATGGCAGGCTTTTGAGTGTCCTTGCAAAGAAAGGTGGCTATATTGGTCACTGATTTGTTTTTGTTTTGTTTTTGAATGTCAGAAATGTATATTTGTGAATGCTGAGATGTTATATTGGTTTCACTGGTAATAATAAATAATTGAAATGGGTATATATTTGTTTTTTGTTAAGTTGCCTAATAATTATGCACAGTAATAGTCACCTGCACACACAGATATCCCCCTAACATAGCTATAACTAAAAACAAACTAAAAACTACTTCCAAAAATATTCAGCTTTGATATTAATGAGTTTTTTGGGTTCATTGAGAACATGGTTGTTGATCAATAATAAAATTAATCCTCAAAAATACAACTTGCCTAATAATTCTGCACTCCCTGTATATCTATTTCATGTCCAAGCTCTCTCTCCCAGCTAATGAGGGCTTTAGATTTTATCAAATAATCATCAGGTAACTCCAATAGGTCTTTTTAAATAATTTTTTTTCTAATCGTTATTTCTCCTTCTAATAAATGGATTTTTTAAATTTTTATTTGGGTAGCGTTCTTGCTTTCCTTTAGTAAAAAGCCTCTTATTCTTAAATAGGTACAAATTTCCCCATTTGGAAGGGAGAACTTGAGCCTAAGTTGGGGAAAATCTTTACCATCGTTCCATAGTTGCCTATATATACATTTGCCATTTTGGTTCCATCGTTTAATATCTAAATCTGGGATATTATCTTCTAAAAAAATGCATCGGAGTATAGGGAAGAACAAAACATTGGATATATAGCTTTTTTTCCCATTTCATCCAAAAATCTAAAAGACTATAGATTATTTTTATAATCATTAAATATTTTTTTATTTAAAGCTGAATATAATAGAAGGGATAGTTATTCCTTTCCTAACACCAAGACTTCACATTCATACCATATTTCATGTTTTTCCTCCACTCTAAGCAATTTAAGCAGATGCCACATCATTGCTGCATCATGGTATTTATTTATGTCTGTTACTATAATAACGGCCAAATGCAGCGTTAATATCTTGTGGTTTTAATATGGTTTTAAATGATATGTATCATTCTCTTTTAATTTTATAGATTCTTCTTGTTGCTATTCTTTTTTTTTTTCAATTTACTGGTGAGGAGTTTATCTGCTTTTTTATTTTTATAGTACCAAGTTTGGTTTAGTCTTTTTAAATTCTCTTAATTTTTTTTTTTCCTGGTAAACATTTATCTTATTTTTAATTTCTATTAACGTCTTGGTAGTTAAAGCTGATGGGACTTGTTTATTTGTTCTTGACAATTGTTCAATTTCTAATAACTCTGGGAGCGGAAGTTGTCTTCCCTTCTATCTCTAGACCCCAGCATTATTAAATGGCCTCTCAGTACGCATTTGTATGCACACCAAATATTTACTGGCTGAATTTCATCAGAATCATTTTCTTTAAAAAAAAAATGCAGTAATTTCCCTTAGATATGTTACATTTGAATATTTTGCCAATATGGAATTATTTCATTTCAATCCATACCTGGAGTTCTATTCTTTTTCTCATTAGATATCATATTAACCGCATTATGATCGGACCATGTTATATGCAATATATATATATATTTTCTCTATCTCATAAAATGAGCTTCGTCTAGGAACATGTCCAATCTAGAATATGAGAAATAAATCTAGGGAAAATATGTGTAGTCCCGTTCAATCGGGCTAAAGACTCATATAATGAGTGCTCCTTCAGGTTTTGTTGGAATTTATTAGTCTGGCTGACTATTTCCCTGGAGCATCTAGCATCCTTGGGAAGCCTTTTGTTCACATCTACATCCTAGATCATGTTGAAATCTCCTGCCATTATCAGTTTACCTTGTTTCACTGTCTCTAACCTATTCAACATTTTCCTTAGAAAATTTGGGGGGGATTTATTTGGGGCGTACAAATTTACAATCGTGTATAAATTTTCGTTCAGCCGACATACAAGAATAATAAATCTATGTCTATCATTTCTTCAGAATTCAGTTTTTCCGAAATTAAAACTACACTCATCTTTTTTTTCTTTTTTTTTTAGATAGAGAAGATTCCGCTGCCGTTAAATATCCCTTGATACTAGATTTTTTTTTTTATATCACTTTAGACCAGTGAGTTTCTGGAATTAAAACAATATCTATGTGCTCTTTATTTAAAATTTTAGACAGATAGTTATTTTAAAAATAGTATTTAACCCCCAAACATTTAATGTCATCCATTTGACCATATTTGATTGTCAGTCGGTATAATTACAAGCTCCCTTTCTATTCCACATGTCATCTTCCCCTTACAATAAACAAAATATAACATATAATATACATGTGAGAAAGAAACACTCTCTTCAACATGTACCCCCCTATTATAAACAACAACAAAAACTTATATAGCACATAAGGTAAGGGGAAAAAACCCTCTAGTACTCGTGCTTCTCTATTGTACATCAACGTTGAAGCGGACTCATCATGAATCCAAACCATGGGACTGAGGCGTCTATTATCGCTATATAATAATATATGTTAAAAAAAACAAACAGCAAAAAAATAAAAGATCCCACATATATATTTATATACACTGTATATATAAACTAGTTTTTTGCTGTTTCAATTATTTTACAGACCGTCAGCCTACTATAATTCAATGGAAAAAAAAATAGAGGAGTTAGACTCTCTATCTCCCTTTGTTCGTTAGAAAAAGTAAAATCTTGTTCCTGATTATTACTCAATTCCAATATATATTATAAAAGGTAGGCCATATCTTTCTACTAAATTTTCATATTTCTTTACTTTGTGTATCAGAAAACTCTTAGTGTAAATTATAAAGGTTAAAGTGCTAATGTATAGTTAAATCTATAACCAAGTATTCCATCCAATTGTGGATTCCTTTTTAAATTCTTTTACTTATTACCTCTCGTTGATTTTTCTAATGTCTTTGTGCCCATTTATATTTATATCAACACCTATTAATATGTGAGAAAACCAACTATCTTTGTGAATATGTGAATTGATTAGCTTTATAATATAGATTAGGGATTTTATATAAGTGTTTCATTAACTAAGTGAAATGTGAAGAGTATCTTAGTCGTTTAACTTTATCAGTGGAAACATCTATTTCATATCTCTCTTTTTTCTTCCCCTCTCGTTTATTTCATATTCCTCTTTACTCCCTAATCACTTTCCCCTTGCTCACACTAAATTTGAATAAGTGTTTTAGACTAATATAGGAAAACACCCCATATCTCACAAATCAACATTTTGTAATTGAGGGACACTGTATCATCCCCTTAATATAATTTTTACATAGGAGTAGGATAATAATCTAAAAAAAAAAAAAAAAAGTCTCTACTTTCTCTTCTCCCTTTGTTTTTCTCTCTCTTATTCTTTTCGCTTCTCCTTCCTTCTCTTCTTCTATTCCTTCTACCCCTCTCCTCTGTTCTTCTTCCTATATTCATCAGTCTCTGTATTTTTCCATCCATAATTTCACCTCTTTTGGTTTTAGGAAGGATTTTCTTTTACCTTCATCTTGGATTCTCAAGCTTACAGGAAAGCCCCAATTATAAGGGATGTTCTTCTCTCTCATAATCTTTGTAATAGGTGCAAAAGATCTTCTAAATTGCTTTGTGTAGAAGGCTAGATCTTGTAATATCTGGATATTTTCAATTTTTTTTCTCTTTTTAAGTTCAATCTGTTTGCCCTTAGAACTTCTTCTTTATGTTTATAAGAGTGAAAGAGGGCTATCATGTCCCTTGGTGCCGAGGGCGAAACTGATTTTGGTTTAAAGA